ACACCAACAGACCACGCTATTTCATGAGCGTGGTCTTTTATACACAAGACATGTGATTCGTGGCAGCATGGGTGAGGCGTTCCAGGCTATTGTGAAAACTGTGAGCGGTTGGTGCCTTTCGCCCTCGCCAGATATGCTGGACGATGCTGCTACACGAGCAAATGGAGCAGCCGCCTCCGAACCATTAGCCACAAGAACAAGTCTTCGAGGAGGAGTTGCTGGAAACCGTAATTCGTCTAGACCCACGAGATATTCAATCTATTATTGAAGCGGTTAAAGCTGATACGCCGTCAACTTCTCAAACGCCTACTACAACGCATTCATTCAAGCGAGAGGGATTCGGACGTCAGTTTGATTTTAACAGTGCCATTATCAGGAAGTTAGCATCGTTACCGAAGTCCACTGAGAGTAATGCGATTATAACTGAGGTAATACAGGACCTCACTGTCAGGAATGAGACTCTGAAAATCGCGGATTCCCATCCACAGGTGTTTCAGTTTCTTGACAGTAAGACGATATCAGATTACAATAGTTCAAAATGGTATTTATACCAGAGTTTACGAAGGTATAAAAAATCTGAACGGCAGTTTATATGTTGCGCGTGAGATTGCGTGTGACATGTGCACCCAACCGAGGTACAGTTTATTTCACGTCAAAGTAACCTCCAAGGACTCGATGCGATCAGGCGGGTGTGCATATCGTTTGGTGGGATCGGTTTGCCACTGGGGCTCGTCGGCCGCAATTTCCAGCCGCCAGGGGCTCGTCGGCCGCAATTTCCAGCCGCCACTACGCCGATGGATTTCGTGGTTACGCAGCAATTCACAAAGCGTGGCAAAATTCAAATTTTAATCTTGTACTTTCGCTTTCAGTTGTTTTGTTTGCCTTCTTTTGGACTTTTCCCCATTTTTTTTTTTGGCAGTGATAACTCGACTTCCAGAACGAGTCGTTATTATTTGTGCTGAAAGTTCAATGACCATAATTTCAAATATAATGATGCGACGGAGAAAAATATCAGTATGCACGAATAAGGCTATGGAGTCGATTCCATTAGCCCATAATTTAATGCTTGAATAAACTACTGCACAAAATGAATAGTATAGATCGGTTTCCGACTGAGCTTCATTGTATTGCGATTGCCAGCCATCGGCTTTCACTCTCAGCGCTGATGCATTCCGTTAGAGTGTATCGTCTTTAGCTCCCCACACTCCACCCTTCCTCTCGCACTTTCATTGTCACTTTGGAGCTAGACTGATCGGTGCACTGGCTGTACGATTTGACGGCAGTTGAGACGGAATTTCAGGCTTATTACCAGCACACTCTCATTCGCAGCCAACGCGGACCTAAATGGTGATGTTGTGAACAAGAGAAACGACGGGACGTGCTTCTTGTATACCTGGGTGTATTTGTGGCAATAATCGTCCCGTGAACGGTAATCCCACTTCTGCACGTGGAGTACGTGAGTTCAGGGCAGAGCACGCTGCTCGTTGGGAATCGTGTTTGGTCGGTGGGGAAAGGGTTTGCATCCGGACATGCGAGCAGTTGTTCTGACCTGTGAGAAAAATATTTGCAGAAGAATTGGAAGGGTACTATACCTGTGCCTCCAGTAGTTTTGTGATTCCTGTACGGAGACCACATTATAACTGTGTTCCTCAGTCGCGAAGACTAAACTGATATCTTTGCACTCCGATGCCTCGTCAGCGCGCCAATAGCTAGTGGCGGAGGTATTGGAAAGCTGCTTCTAGGCATCAACGCGTAGAATGGTTTCACCTTCCCAACGTCGCTAAACAGTTGTCGTCCAAGCCTTGCTGTTATGAGAGTCCTTATTCAAGCGCCTTTTGCATACGCTCCGCGGCCCGAGCTTCAGTCGCGAAAATGCGACTGGCTACGCTTTGTCCTAGTCGTTGGACTGCAATGTTTGAAACAAGCTCTATTGTGACTGTGATTAAGCTAGTATTGCAACGATCCAGTGAATAGCGGTGGAACTTGGTTATATGCAATTTCCAAATCGCGCAACTGAATGGTTCAAGTCGCAAAGTATCCAGCCTCTAGGTCTTCCTTTATTCCTTGTCAAGCGTCGACGTTGCCACACATTTCCTTCCAACCTATCTTGCCCTTTGAGTCACTCTCCTCCCTAACACCTTTCACCAGCCAAGGCGCTTGTTTAGCATCCGCGAATCATTGTAGTCCAACGGACTAACCGTCAGCAGCGAGGTGAAATTGACGCACGGTCGTTCATAGGCGTAGCACGCCTCAGCGCTACTTTGCAGCCGTTTCTACAGCTAACAAAATTTTACACTGAACAGAAACAAGCTGACAAGTGCAAACTAGGGGCGTCAGAATCTGCCTCGCTTGAGACGGGATCGAGGGAAGCGAACGAGAGAAGTATAATTATAACAAGCCCTCGGCACAGTTCCGATTACGAACATAAGGTACGTGCTAGTCATTAGGACTTTTGTCATCCGAAACCAAATTACAAAAAGGGCCCCCTTCAGATCGCTAGGCAGCTATTTGCATTTTCGCTACTTTTTGCTAGTAATGTTTGATAAAGCGGTCCATTTTGGCTACAAGGATATACATATTTCACGAACCCTGTACTTCAGTTATCACTGTGTGCAGGCAAGTATTGCATGTGTCGCGGCGCCAAACCCATTCTCTGGTACTGCTGAGCGGTATGCGTCTACCATTTGCGGTGCAGAAACGAGTGATAGGCAACTGAAGGGATATAGTGTTAGTAACTTGCGGCGACTCAGCAACTGGCGAAGACGGGCTTCGGCGTCGCGCCAAACTCATCCCGACTGGCACGCCCTTTCGTCCGCAGCGGACTAAGACCATTCAAAAAGTTTTCTCGAAGTGGAACGCACTATATTTTCCAGAAGCGCTGCACTTCAATTAAAAAAATGTTGTTCAACAATCATACTGGACACAAAAAACGGAGACATAGAGAAGTGAAGAATATTCCATCGAGCGAACATCATTCTCAGGTATTCATCGAACATCATTCTCAGTAGTCACTATAATACACCGACTGAAGGACTAATTAATCGTAAGTAGTCAAAATAGGAGAGCACAGAAAGGAAGCGGAGATTATTATGATAACGGATATTATTAGTATTAAGTAGGTTACACCAGTGATGGGAATGTGCGTTCTCAATAAATTAAACAATTTGAACAGCCCTAAAACCATAGTGCACGGAGGAATAATCACAGATATTATGGTAAAAAAAAACGTGCGTAATGTCAGCGCATAATTATGCCTAAGGTTAGACTATTAGCTATAATCAAATCAATACAGACGAAGGATGGAAAATTGTGAAGTAAGGTAACCACTCACAATAACGAAGACGATCACATAGTTCTGTGTCACGGCGCCTGGAAAGGGCATGTCCACGAACTTTGTCGTGAGGGTGGCGACGACCGCGCACCTGTGGACTGTTTTGGGTTCAGAAAAGAGACGACAGAGAGGCCCAGCCAAGCCACCCGCGCTCTCTTACATGCTGTCTACGTTTCCGCCTCGAACCGGGAATATTGCGCTCTTGAGGAGCCGCTGCTGCATTGACAGCTATATTCGTGAACATGCCCCTCCATGTGCCAGGGTTATTAGCGCTTCAAGTGCACCCTCTAGAGGCGGTATTCCCGAAAAAATCGATACTGAATTCCTTGCTGAGAGGGAACCTTGAGACGAAGTGTGGCCCCACAAACCCTTCCCTAAACATCCATACAGCGTAAGCCGTATCCCAGGACATCTATTTAGGCACTTTCGGAATGAAAGGGTTCAGAAAACTCGAAATCTACGATTTTATAGCAAATATCGCCGAGCGAAGAGCTTAAAAGGTGGCAAATTCAGATCAGGGGCGGAGTTTGTGTGAAAGTGTGGGTCCTTGGACCATGGACCTTGGATACTTGTCACGCAATTTTCGAAGCTTTTTTTCGCTGCAAACTCAATACAGGTCTTTCTGAGACAGATGCTATTCCAATAAAAGTCAAAGTACTCGTTCCTTCACGAGGTTTAAGCCCTTGGAAAACTATAGCAGAGACTCTCAACCAGAAGCATCGAAGAGACGATCGATACTCGCCTCCAGTGACTCTCTTGTGTATTTTAATTGCTTAGTGACAAATTGTTCCCCACAGATTTCAACCCTCTGCATAAGAGGACTGTACAGGGTCACGATCGCCCTCTTCACATGATCACAGACGATAGCTCGGAGCTTCAAGTCGGCTATGCAATAGTCACGCTGTTGTGCAACCGTCGCATCGAACTCACGTGTAAAATTCTAAAATATTGTATTCAGAGGGCAACAGAACGAAGTAACAAGTGAACAGATAAAAGAAATTCCAGGAATAATGGGGGAGCCATGATGAACCCAATAGTTAGTGGTTGCTGGGAGAAGAGGGTAAAAAAATACAGCATCTGGAATTGATTAGTTCCTCCAAGGGATGCGCCAAGCATCATCCATCATCAGGAATCGTAACGAATTTCAGCAACAGAGCCCTACACTTGTGGGCCAGCCTCTTTATAAACGATTGGTTCAATCTCCCGGTAGTATGGCACCTAATAACCGACCACAAAGGGAGGGAATATTGGTTTGGTCCGTGGATCCTTCCACACCTCAATAGTGGATGAATATCTACAAATTAAGAGTTCTGTAGTCTGTACTGACTGCGGATGAAGGGGCCACCAGGCAGTGTGAGTGTGCTACAAAAGACGGGTGATACGAACGATGTGATACAGTCTTGTCACTTGCTCGCTTCAACAAGTGGTGGAGAACGGGTTTGGCACCGCGCCAAACTCATCCCGCCTGACACGCCCTTCGTCCGCAGCGAACTAGACTATAATAATCTGTAATCGATAATCTCAAATGGTTAAAGCACATAAAAAGCTTGGTTCTTGCTCTTTTTAGTTGAACTGTGTGGCGGTGTAGGGCGGAGGTGGTGTAATGGCTAGTGATGCCATTTACCTAGTGTGCCTTATCGCGGCCCCATCGCGAGCAAACTTATAGTTAGTCCTTCACCTCCCAGGGTTCACAGATCGGTAGCGCAATCATCTGGGAAGGTAACACTGATTTGTAGAGAGGGAGAGAGAGAGAGAGAGAGAGGGAGAGA